CCGTAAGCAAACGACTGACAACATAGAAGGATAAGCTATCGTTGTTGTTATTATCAATAAGCTGTCGTCAGCGTCACATTATTACAACATTAAATATGCCGGATGTAATTTTTCGATGCAGTTCATACGGACGTAATATTTCTGTTATTGATATCGCTAGCAGCTAAAATTGCACACTGACGTTTTAATCACAATCAAGTTTAAACCTATTGTATTCGTCAACAGCCGCTTCCAGGCGACTTAATTTTTCTGATATTGAGCGCGGTGGCTTCATTTACTGACTTCGATACATTGTTTCGAAACTTAATTCTCATCTTTAAGCGATCAAAGTAAGTCTTTATTAATGCTTTCTGCAATAATACTTAAATATCGACTTGTTAGTTACGCTGACAGACACAGACAGGAGATGTAGTGTTTTAAATTTTTATCTAAATTACTGAAATCGAATACATCTCTTCTTAATATTTAATTTATCCTGGTATTTAATTAAGCTTGACATAAATAGCCATTTTTTTCGTATGTGGTCGTTTTCCACACGTTATACACATTTTTATGTGACAGTAAGTAGTATGGGTATCCGCGCATTTACACAGAAAGCCTATCAACACTGTATCAAGTACTACGTGAGAAAAAAGGTCCCGTAAAGCGAATGCTCCTGTTAGAGATGAACCGGTTGCAACATGGTGCAGGAGTGAGAACAGAAATTCGCTAAGGTGAAAATTTGTAATTATTGTTTCCATTTTTCTCAAAACTTTTTTTTAGGCAGAACTTAAAAACAGCAGCAACGAAGCGTCCAGTTTCATCAGAATTTATCTCGCGACAGTAACATTACGAAGGAACGATCTTTTTTAATAGATAATTAGGTTAGTACTGGAAAGTTACGGTAATGTATAAGAAAAGATCGTCAAGCTGTATCATGTCAAAATTGATTAGAAACAACTGTGACATGAGTTCTGAGAGCCGTTAGTGATCTCACAACGTTTATTGAAATTTAAGCGTTTGCCAATATATCGCGGCATGCAAACCCATTAATTTTATGCCTACTTAATGGCATATACGGTGTACCTGTTTTTGAAAAGTGGGTGCGCGTAAGTCCTGGGTTCGATTCCGTAATTTGTCCTAGCCGCGAATTCTCTTGAGCAATGAATTTATCACACATCTGCTTCAGCGCAACCAGGCGAGAAACGGTTAGAAAGTCGCTAATTTGCGAACAACAGGCACAGCATGCTGTTCTGGTGTCGTCATACCGGAATGGCCGAGATTTCCGGATATGCTGTCTGATGCGAGAGTTTCACAGGGTTACAATTCGCCTTGTTCAACCTAGTAGCTGAATACTCTGTGATAGTCAGCAGAAGCAACAACCTTTCTTGCTGTTGTTTGGCGGGATGCAAGAAATATCTACATAGTAGTTTCTCAAATACAATGAAGCTTCGACGTGCTTAGACTTCTGTTTCGACAGATAGCTAACAATTATGAGGTACACATTGAAAGCTAATGCTGGAAGAATTAAGTGGGAAGGGTATATGAGACATACACACTTATTAACATTAGCTTTTGCAAGACTGATTTATATGAACATCCTATCTCTGAAAACTTTTAGGAGAGTCACGCTAGTGCTCATCGCATACGAAGCGAACTTGCTGCATGGATGTTACCATTGTTTAGGGAATATGGTTCCAGCTAGCTGCTCCAACGGATTGTTGGCTACGTCTGTTTAACATTGCTAAGGCAGATGTTTCGTTCAAAGTTATGGAGTTTTACAGTAGCTTAATGGCTTCTGTCTTGTTTTAGGACATGGAGGAGGAGTCTGAACAAGAAGGCCAAAATTCATCCGAATCCGTACATAAACTCATTCATGAAGAATGCAATTTGAATGAAATCTCTTTGCCGCAGGTAATGCTACAACCTCATATTAACAAAACAAACGATGTTCGCTTCAGATTATGCCATCAAATATACTTCGTGATTACTTTCAATGCACCCTGGCAATCAACCTAAGATTTATTACAAGTAATTTTTAAGTTATGAGAGTCTGTAATAGGAGACTTATAACTTATATCAGACTGACCAGTCTGAATCAATACACTTGGATTATAACATTTGAATGTTTATCAATCAATCAGTCAAGTTTCAGTAAAGCTTATTGCCTTGCGCGGCAGTGATTTCTATCAGTAAAAAACAATCCCTTCGCGAGCTGCCAACAGAAACTATAAAGAATGCACAGTCTAGGATCTGTTTTACTCATCAGCGATGACTGTAAGATCGCCGACACACAATTGCACATAGGGATCAATATAGTTTCTTTGCCTGCCAATATTCTGCAGTTGTCTAATCGGAGGATATTCAATGCGTATGAAAATGTATTTGCCATCGGTTGCGAATATTTTTGCCCTATGTTTTCACCCTGCCACTTTCCTTCTTTAATGCAGTTTGTGTTACTGTCACATTCACTGGTTTATCCGGCGCTAATAGCTTCGTGGATCGCTGCTTACTACCTCTGCCCCCCACCAAGTTCAGCCAGTCTTTCATGGACCGTTTGCACCCATACACTACCGGCCCAGAGAAGATTCCAGCCTAAGCTCTGACTCTGGCAGTGTCCCAGTAGGTCTTGACTTGTGTCCTTCTTATCCGATACTATTCAAGGTGCTGAGTGGTGTTCAGTGGAATGGAGGAGATATCGTCTGATGCCCCACTCAATGCAGCCGCCATTCTTTCAGGACAGTAGAGAGCTTTAGGCACTTTGCCTGTCGGACGTCTCTGATACCTCTTTACTGGCTTTCGCTATGCGACAATTATCGCCTTCTCATTCCTTCCTCGCCACTTGTTCATATAAGCCATGGTATGCATTCGACTTTCAGCATTAGCTTTCACTGCCTCATTCTTGGCCCCTGGCATACCTCGTTTTGTCCTGCCAGTTTGAATAGTTGTTTTTTCTCAGCTTCGTCCGCAATTTGGCATGCTGGTAACGCTTTTGAATCTGATGTCTGCCTCTCTGCCGACTCGACCACCTGCCAGATGTTCGACACAACGGGGGTGCAGTGGCACAGAGGGGCATCGTTCGACGTTGCACTTCATAATTGAGTTTGAATTGTTGTCGGCCTTTGATTTTATTAATTGACCGCTATTTCGTTAGTGCAAGGAATTCAGCCCACTGCGCTTCGATGTAATCGCCCAAAGATGGTCGACAAATGGCTGATCATCGAAAACGATGCATGGCATCACGTTCTGCTGTGATCACGTCAGAACTGCGAGATTTTCCGAAGATGTTGCCTGATCCGTACGCTTCATAGCACAGATTCATTTTTACCGGACAGATAGCTGGCTAAACCAGCACAATACATAAACTGTAACGAATATTCGATGGTCTGTTCATACATGTGATTCCATATTTTTATACAGGTTTGAACCTGCTTTACCATAAGAGCAATTTCGCAGGCAATGGCGGCGGCGAATAAAGGTAGATTCTCATAAAATAGCCATATTGCTGATGTAGGAAGATGCTCTTTTATGTCAGTGTGCGATCATGACGGACAGACGCGTAGCGCCGTGTTGCACTTGTTCTCTGGGGAAAAAGCTGCTAGCCACATTGTGAGGGCATATATCGTCAGCCGTTTCAGCCCATCGCATGTATGAAGGAATGTACCTACGTGGTCCTTCTTTCGATGGCAAGGTTCATACATGATATGGAGTGCACGTGCCATCCAAATGGATGCACCGCGTAGACTCCAAGCTACAAAGGAACAATCGCCATCTGCAAGACAGCCTTGGAAATGACAAAGAAAAAACCAGGAAATTCCTCCCACCGCGACTACCTCGTCATAACCGTGAGACAAACTGAACCGGTTCGCATTTTCGGACAAGGGTGTGAGCCGGTGCGCCACGCCGCGCAGTAATTTCGTCACCTCCGAACACTAGCGCCATCAGACGAGAACCGGCATGGTTCAAACGAAAGGAATACCATGGGCATTAGTTTAAGAAGCTGATAGGACCTTTTGCACCTAACCACAAATTAAAGTCAATTGCCATC